GGTCCTCCATAGTAAATATATAGAATATTTTAGAGTGCTCTCTGATTCAAATTTTGAAAACTTACTGTTATTTTTTTTCTCTCTGCGTTACTTTTGCGTACCAGAATTTTAAGCATCCGATATTTTTATTAACTTTTTACCTGTCTAAACACACACACACACGCACGCACAATACGTATATATATATATATATATATATATATATATTGTCATCCATAGACAGACTATTTTGACTTTTGCTGTTTCACTGCTCATCGGTGTGGCTAGACATCCAGTTGCTTCAAGCCGGGATCGAAACCCGACTGATTTGGTACCATTCAGAGATTTTACCCTTAAGCCAATAATGACACATTACTTATATCTCAAACTTTTCAATTTTTTGAATTTAGACGTATTCATTTTTAGACAAACACGGCGGTCACCGGAGAACTCAGTTCGTCTTAACAAAGAGTCTTGCATCAGCGGCAGTAATAGTCACTGTTTACAAATTCACTGAAATAATTTTTATAATATATATATATATATATATATATATATATATATATATATATATATATATATATATATATATATATATGATATGCAACTCTATATATCATCAGAGTAATAGTTTGTAATTGAATGACAAATTGAAAAAAAAAACTCCAACTTTACGCGTTTAGTTCCTCAAAAGGATTTCTTCTGATTAATAATGATTTTATGGATGTCATGCAGTGACATACAGTCGGGGACTAAGTACAACAAACGTTGTATCCAATTTTAATTTTAATACAATTTAATTTTAATTTTAATCCAATTTTACAACGAGAAACGCTTTAGCTTTGAATTTAAATTTTGAATTGTGGGCATCCAATGCATACTTAAGCTACTTCATTCATTTTTTGTGGGGGATATCTCCATAACAATGTTTTAATTTGTCTTAGAATTTCTAGGAAATGGTCTCTTTCAAAGTATTTTAACTCAGTCATCAACTTATTTTTGATATATTGATTTTACTTGATCTTGTAAACGAATTAACCCACATCGAGCAAACAAGTGAATTTACTTATGAAAAAGAAAAAAAAAACTACATTAGTTTTCGTTTAATTGTAAAAATGCTTGATTCCATTGTTGAAGTTGAATTAAAAAAGAATAAAAACTTGTTATTACAATGATAATTTATTGTTAAAACATATATTTCAGAAATCTTTTGCAATCCTTGACCACTCTTAAGAAATAAATGAAACAGTGACTAAGCCACGTTGTATACGTTATAAATTCAAATTAAAAAAAAAAGGAAAAAAAAAGAAGAAAAAATCGATCGAATTGAGTTCGCGAGACATGCATAAGCTGAAAGTGTAAGAATTGCTTAATGAAAGAAAGAAATGTTATTTTCAAACCAGAGTAGAAAAAAATTAGTTTTTTCGTATTTTCCGTTGAAGTAGGGAAGTCCATGCTGGGTGAAGCTGTGCTGCATCAATTCTATTACAGACATTTTCGGTACTTGCTATTATCATTTGTTCAGCTACCCGTCTTTGGTTGAATTAGTGCTGGTTGGTCAATTTCATTTCAGGTTTATCTTTCCATTAACATTTACCATTAGAAATGTCAAGTATCTCTCACAATCGAACATATACTCATAACTTGCTGTAATCTCAGTCAAAATCTGAATAAAATATTAGCAAGAAAACGATGCAGCAGAACTCTTTCAAAACACTAAACCAAACAATATCCTTAACTCTAAAGGAAATCAAATTTTATGCCAAAATATTAAACTCTAAAAATTCCCAACAAAAATACATAAAACCTTTAATATATTTTGAAAACTGAAAGAAAAGTCAAAAGAACCAATCAGACTTCACAAAGATTCCCACTAAACTCTAATAACCAACTTGTATCAGAAACTACATACTAAATAACTTCTATCTCAACTAACTGATTAAAAAAATCACTAATTACTGTACTCAAATTTATAACTGATCCAAATATAACATTAAACTATACCCTAAATACCACAGTTCAAAATACTTATCTGGTATTAAAATAAATCTATAGTGGTTGAAAGGCCGTTAAGCAGAAATAAAACAAAACCTTTCCTTGATATTGTTTTAAACCATATTGATAATGATGTAAAATTAAATGTCTATCCACCAAGTAAATTAGATAAATTTACATCTAGGATCATATAACATATCTCCTTTCATAACAAATCTGCTGCTATCACAATGTGGGCCATTTAAAAACAACAGCGATAAAAAAAAAGATGATGTGGTTAGTCTAATACAGAATGTGATTCATAAATAGGAAGGTACTTCGGAATATAAAAAGCTGCTTTTTACAAATTATGCAAAGCATTAAGAGGTCGGAAAATATCCTTAGAAGCAAAGAAAGGCATCTTGTGCAATGTCTTGTTTCCAATTACTCACAGCTAAATAAAAGTCATGCTGAGAATACCATAGACCGTGTTTGTGACAAACGAGGAAGTGCTAACAATAGAAACTAGAAAGAAACAATCAAAAAGTGAAATTTTTGGGACGCGTAATGAGGAAAGACGACTTAGCGAAGTTAACACTCATCGAAGGCAAGAGAAGTATCGGGAAGCAGTCAGTAACTTACTTGAAAATTTAGAGAAAATAGAAAACAGAATAAAGGTTACAAAGGCATAAAGAATTAAGAGTTAGTGCAAAAATGTTATGTTGTGGAGAGCCGTGATCAGAAACGTTTTGAAAGGACATGCCACGTGATGAAAAAGAAACTTAAAGACGAATATTTAAGAAATTATTTTACTATAAAACTTTTGATCCAAAGTTTTGTTTTTTTTCTATCAGCAGAAGGTTATAGGTATTAAATCCTATATATGTATTTTAACCAATAAACTCCCATCAGAAGATCTGTTCGATAAACGATCATTACAAGGGCAAATACCGCCCAAATACTTTCGGGCGTAGTTGTAGACTTACCAGGTGTTATTTTTGGAGCATTTAAAAAAAATGACAATAATAACACCCTTCACCACGCCCACAAATTACAGAAAAAATATTTTCGCGAACAACAGTGAAATTATTTTCTAATTAATGAAAACTTTGTATTCAAAAAGTTCACACATTTACGTGAAATTACATATATATATATATATATATATATATATATATATATATAATATCGCACATATACTCAGCACCTGAAGATTGCGTTGGGCATGAAACTTCGAGTCGTGCTACTGATGAGGATAATTATATATATATATATATATATATATATATATATATATTATATATATATATATATATATAGCTTATATATATATATATATATATATATATATATATATATATATATATATATATATATATATATATATATAAGTTGATGTGTTGTTCTAGGTAAGCAGGGTAGGCTGTGTCTACCCTGAATAAAATAGATCAGCAGTTACATTATCTTTATGTGGCAAATCCCCAAAAAACTATGAAAGTTGTTTTGATTATTATGCATAAAATGCAAAATATTTTTGTTGATTAACTAAATAAAAGCTAGATTAATATATATATATATACAGACACATATATATATATATATATATATATATATATATATATATCTGTAAGTGTCTGTGTGTGTGTTTATTTTTTCTACCTATTTGTATTTATCTTGAAATTTTTTATAGTTATAAGTACGCTTATTTTAAATGCAAAATATTTAATAAACCATTAATCCCAGTTTATTTTAAATATAAAATATAAACTTCGTTTATTGTAGATACAAGTTTTTTTTTTAAACCAGTAATCCCCGTATAATACATGGACTGCACCAACATTGCGTTAATTAGATATTTTTTATCAAGATTTAAATTACGTAACGGTCGGTCAGTCTCTACTCAGTACCTGAACATTGCTTTCTGTATGTAACTCCAAGTCGTGCTATCAGTGAAGAATATATATATATATATATATATATATATATGGTTTCATACATTTCCAATAGATATTTGCACGTAAGTGAATATAATGAACACAAATGTAACTCGAAATCGAGCAAAAAGAATGTGAGGGACTCACAAAGAAAAAAGAAAGAAAGGTAAGAACAGATAAAAAAAAAAGAAGATACTAACTGGTTAAAAAGAAAGAAAAGGCTGATAAAGATAGATAGATAGATAGATAGATAGAGAATCTATAAAAAGATAGAAGAGACTGAGAAGAAACGAGAGAGAAATTCCCACGACAAAAGAAAAGTCTGAGCATAAGAGAGAAAAAAGATAAAAAGGAAAGGAAAGGCTGAGACTGGAGAGAGAGAGAGAGAGAGAGAGAGAGAGAGAGAGAGAGAGAGAGAGAGAGAGTGTGTGTGTGTGTGTGTGTGTGTGTGCGTGTGAAACGAAATAAATAAATTAATTAAAATTATTAAATAAATAAATGAAATTTTACTATCAAGTTTCCTGACGAGCGGATGTAATCTCTGAGAAACAAAGCAAGAATTACTGAAAATTTAATAGAGAGAAGAAAGACGAGAGATAGATAGGAAGAAAGAGAAAGAGGGAGAGGGGCAGAGTGACTAAGAAAAAAAAACAGTTCTTAGAGAGAGAGAGAGAGAGAGAGAGAGAGAGAGAGAGAGAAAGAGAAAGAGAGAAAGAGAAAGAGAGAGGGACTGAATAAATAAATGCTACATAAAAACATTTTCTAAGGAGAATCAAAGTGAAATAAAGTTACGAAAGAAAACGTGAGTGAAATCGAAGACTAAATCGACAGATGGAAGCTAGAATGTAAGAAAAGAGTAAGATCTGAGAAGGACGCCGGTGATAAATGATTGGCAAAGGGCGAGGGATGGTTACAAGTAGAAGAGGGGTCTGGGTCGGGTATCAGCAGGAGACGGTCAAGACTGGCGGGCTTGAATCAGAAAAAGCACTTGTGGCTGGCTCAGCTGGTGTTCTCGTTTTAAGTGCAACCAGAGAACGTCGTGACGTCAGCCGACGGCCAGTGGTCAGTGGTCAGTGGTCAGAATGGTCGACTTGCACATGTGTGCGGACATAA